CAGTCGATGTTGTCAGGAGGCGGAGTTCTGCAGGACTCAACTGAAAATACGGCAGGGGAGTGTCGGAGGGGGCCAAGACAGGCAGGGGAGCGAGAAAGTATAGGAAGCCGTGGTTAGGGACAGAACAAATATTGGGGGGGTGAGGCCTCTGGAGAATACTGATAGGCGAGGAGACTTCATCTCCTTCCTGTGACCATCAGTGATCCGTGATTAAAGCACTAAGCTCAGCCAATAAACTCAGCAGATCACTCAACACCTCTGCACGCCTAAAGGCGGAAGAGCACTCACTATGAGGCAAAAAGTACTTCAAGCTCAGCGACAGGGAGCGATAAACAGCTCCCGACTGCAGTAGAGAGTAGGACAGATCAGCAGCCAGTCAGCCAGCCAGCACGACCAGGAGGGCTGAACAGAGCGCCTGGATCCGTATCATCAAACCATGGGGAGAAAGGAACAGTTAATACTGCCTTTCCCCGGCTGTGGTTCACGGCAGAGTGTGACCGTCTGCAGCTACGAGTACCTCTGACGTACGTGGATATCCCAGTTTCCGAAACTACCTACTCAGTGTTGTGGGTAATTGTTCATCACACCTCCCCCCTCGCAGAGTTAAGCGTAATCAGAAAGCCTTCTCTGTAGAGTTTCCCGATAAGTAGACAGCGACGTATCTGTCCACAGGGCGACGCAGCTAGAAACAGGTGAGAACCAAAATGAAAGCAGCGAAAACACAAGCGTGAAGTGGCATTCCTTCAACGTGTCAGGCTCCCGAAGCTGAGAAGCCACTATGCCCTGATCCTATCTTGGGTTTCACAGATAAGGATCAACATTCTCGACCAGACACAGGCCTGGCCTCAACATTCCACAGTTAACTAGGGAAAATGAGACGTACTGACGGAACCATCCATATCTCATTTCCGAGTGGGAACAGCGCTCTCAGAAATTATTACGAGCATTGCTTAGGCCATAAAGACTATTCCCTTCTGAGCTGATGTTCGCATCTAACATTTGCAGCAGGAACCTTGTCGACAACTGTTACTCTAATTGCTTTCACAGCAGAAGTCGGCTGCTATATAAAGGCGACGGCGCTCGTGAGCATCCACCCCAACGCGCGCGGGAGCCAGCCTTCGGGAAGCCGAAGGCACCGGCCATAAAAACCGCCAGCTGCAGATTGGTTTTCGTAATTATTCCATTCATAAGCCGTAAAGAAATTCAGAAGTGAAACAGAGTGCTTTCCCTTGATTAACACCCCCCCCCTCCCCCCGAATAGATTTGTTGTGTGTCAATCTTGCCCTCGGCAAATTATTGCAAAATTGCCCGCGGCAAATTAACATTCAGCTATTCACCTGAGGTGCGACGTGCAGATGTGTTTAAAACATAATTCGTTGCCGCGAAGGGCAGCCAGCTTGCTGGGGAAGGTTATTCCAACGCAGGGCTCTCCGTGTGATGGGCAAAGGGGCGCCAATGGCTAAACATCATGGGCTGAGTGCTCACAGGAGGCTCACAGGAGGCTCAAAGGAGGCTCACAGGAGAGCAGAAACACTGGCCCCCACATCGACACCTCAGCTCCTCTATTAAGCACTGTGTTGCGGGGGGAGGGGGGGGGGGCTGAATTTAAAACAAGCACATCTTTATTCATTAGCGAGTCCACTTATGTTTCATTACTCCACTGGAAATCTTTTAAAGGCTAATCGGAGTTTTGTTCACTTGAGAGAACAGCCCCCCAGTGAAAAAAGGTTATTGCCTGATACAAATAATGCATTAGGCAAAAATATAATATGGGGGGAAAGCTGATTAAATTAGCCCCCAATAATTCTGACACCCCTCCCACCCCCATTCAGTGCTGCACCCTCAGACAGGCCATGTAAAGTGTAAAGCAAATAAGCAAATGGAATCTAACGACTTTCTCAGAAGCCTCTAGACGCGGATACCTGCTCCGCGCACTTGCAGATCAGGGCTAGCGCTCCACAGGGACTGCACAGCTGGACAGGAGACAGAGTGGCAAGCACATGACCCCCGCCTGCCTTCCCCCACCCCCAGGACACAGAGTTAGCCAGGCTGTTCCTTCGGCAGATATATTTAGACAGCTTGTCAATAGGTCACACACAGTGCACAGCATACCAAGGCATCAGCTGAACGGAGTGGATGAAGGCTTTACGTGGGAATCTCCAGCATCCCATCACCCAGCACCAGAGTCCTGGGTGCAGTGCAAGGTCCCTGGGGAAGCAGGCGGCACGAGGCACCGGGCACAGCCAGCACACGCTTTTAGAAACACACTCAGGAAATCTCATTCGCCGTCCTCATTTGCCGGGGAAATCAATCTTAATGGAATCAGGCGAGCCTCCCAAATATGAATGGCTTCCACTTGTAAAAACTCGAGACAAAGACCTCGGCAGGAAGCCACACAGATGACAATTCAGGCTACAGCGGACAGAAAATAAAAGAGCAGCTTTCTGGGATTAGCATGAGGATTCGCAGCTCCAATTCAGCACAGAGATGACAATCGGACATCTAATTTCTATTACGGGAGCTGGATAATTGCAACATTTCCTTATCGTTTTCCAGTAGTTCAATCACCCCCAAGATCCACCGGGAGGCTTAACGCATTAGATGGAATTTTGTAAATAGACTTACGACGGTTTTGACAAACAGCTAAACTCAATTATCACGCGAATACAAACCACTCATAAGCTTCCATAACAAAAGAGGGGTGAGGTGTGTGTGTGTGTGTGTGTGTGTGTGTGTGTGTGTGTGGTGGGTGGGGGGATTTTGGCAGTGGTATTAAAAAGGTAAAAGAAACATCGTTAATAAATTCAGAAGAAAAACAACTAAACGAAGATCTGGAGTCTTCCACACAAGGGAGAACGAACACTTTATAATTTGCCTATATGAGTGAGAAAAGTACTTCACAGAGCCGTCCAGAGAAAGGGAGATTTACTGTCTCACAGCCGAGAAGTTAAGTCAAAGAGATAATAATTAAACAAAAATCTGAAGGTAACAGAATGGAGTTAAGTGTAGATCACCCTACAGAAACTAGGATAGACCACACACTGTGTTACACTGCAGCAAAAAACAGACTGGTCAGTGGTTAACTTTCTGCTTGGCTGTTCCATGCCATTAAACCAGACAATTAAATAACAACGACCACAAGCGCTAACTCACCAAATTCTTAATCAACAGCCAAGAGCAGCCTACGCACTGACTGGGTAAATACAATAGCGGCACCGTTATGACACTGTTCAGTATCAACCACAGTTCTGGTTATTTACAATGAAATAAGGACAAAACAAAGGGTGGGGGTGTGATTCTGAAAGTGCACCCATTCTGATGAGAAACTTCGTGCAAGCCGAGGAAGGAGTTTACACTCCCCCCCCTTCCCCCCACTCCCCCAACGCTGCACCAAAGCGCCGCTCGCACGCTGTGCATCCTCAGCTGATGTCACTACTGAGAAAGCGTTTATCTACCGCCGGCCCACGTCACATTTCCCATCATGGCCACACCGTCTGGCGCCCGCCGCCGTAGAGATAACGCTGGAAAACTCCTGCGCTGCTCCACCACGCCGGGCCGACACTCGAGGAAGAGCAAATACACGACTGAGGCTTTGCACAACTAAACAAAACACCGGGCACATGTCATGACTAAGATAACAATTACCTCATTTCAAGGCCCTGGCAGGAACAAGAAAAACAAGGCTTTATAGGTCCCTAAGAGGCAGCTGACAATTGCTTTCATACTTTATTACTACGAGGTTGCCACCGCAAGTGCGAACAGATTAGTCACTTAATCTGGCTGTTTCCCTCTTCTCAATACCTGCCAAGTACAACTTTATCTAATTCGCTGCTCCAAGTCCGGCTGGCAGTTTAAAGGCACCATGGACGCCTAATGAGAAAAGTCCGTTTGTTTGGTGCCTGGACACGACCTCGTGTCCAAAGAAAGGTCATTGGTGTTATTTGCGGTTCCTATTAATGCTGTGGATTCACCTAAATGTTTTTAAAGACCCCTCTCAATTGACACCAAGCAAGAGACCTGTCAAACCAATAAATTACTCTTAAAAACTCTATATTTAGTTAAACACCAGTAAATTTGTGTCCAGCATGGGACAGACAACCTCTCCTCTGTAATACACCTGTCAGAGACAGGGGGGCCCAACACCAGTCCCATTTGGTGGCCTGAGTTCCTGGAGTTAATGAAATAACTGTATAATTACTGATAGCCTGACAAGTTAATCTTGTAACCAGATGGGTTGTGACAAATTGATGACAAGCTTTTAGCCGTTTGCCGCTTAATTAACCAAGCACCCGACAGGTGTTTAAACAGATGACACGTCAGACACGAACAAAAATCAAATGCGACCATATATTTTAAACGGAGAGAAGAGCCGTAAAACTGGGAACTGTAGGTCTTACTTTTATAATACCACCCAACGAGATTAACAAAAGCAGTCAAGCCGCTCCAATGCGTTGTAATTTCTTCTAATAAGTCACACTTCTTAAAAACCACCAACCACACAGGAAAGTGGTAAAAACGGTGCAGTTTTTTTTTATTCTTATTATTTTACAGTAAGTGTGATAGTCACATAACTGAACCGCACAACTTGTAGAAGCAAACTTTCTGCCATAGCATGAGATTCCAGCTGCTGGTGGCATGGAGCCATTCGGGGCTCCCATCAGACACCTCATAATGCGATGATTCCCCCGCCCCAGCTCCATTACCGTAACCTCAAACCGAAAGTAATCATACCGATCCCCGTCCCCTGGCAGGGGCCTAAGTTTATGGAAGACCACCGGATTTCCCACTGATCACCAGTGACCCAGGGAGAAGCTCAGATCGATGCCACTAGAGGAATACGACACCCCCCCTCCCTCGTAACTGTCACATGGAGCTCCCGAGGTTCACGCACGGAGCAGGGTCCATGACAGCGCACGATGGTATTAAAAACTTCTCCCCCACACCGAGAGGGACCCAGAAGACGTGCTCTGAATACCAAACGCTGTCAGGCAGCCCCTTACCTCCAGGCAATCCAGGCTCACGTAGCTGGAGATGGCAAACCCATCGATAATGTCCTCTTCTTGGGAGCCCGATTCCCGTCTCCTTCTCCGAGGGGGGCGAGGAGCTCTGGCCGAGGGGGCCGAGTTGAGAGCCTTTTTGCCGGTCTGGGAGGCGCAATCCCTTCCGGGACTTCGCTCCGCGTCCGAGCAGGACGAGGCGCTCCGATCGCCTGCATCCCTGCCGACGGCTTCCCGTCTCCGCACCCTCTCACGCTGGGACCGGGATCTCCGGCTCTGCTTCATCTTCCCATCCATGTTAGGGGGAACTAAAAAAAAAAAACGTACAGCGGCGTGGAAACGCGAAAGGACAGCCTTTTCGGGGTATGCCAGGAAAGCACGACACCCAAGCCGTGCACCCCCGAGATGTACACGTACGTGCAAATTACGTGTATTTCTTCATTCAATGACCTTGGTGGTTATACATCACCCGAAAATAACACCGTTCGTGTAATCCACAAATCCAGGAGTAGCAGTCCAAACCCTCCCGTCCTTTTTTCTCCGATATGCCAGATCGGGGACGCTCCCTTCATTTAAACAGGTGCAGATGGCAAAACGGCGGCATTTCGGCCAACCACCCGCTCGCCAAGCAACTTTATTGCGGTGCTACAACATAATATTACCGCTGCAGGCGAGGCGGAAAGAAGCGACACCGTGCCCCCCTTTATTTCCCAGCGCCCTCCCCATGATCCGCTGTCAAAAAGGGGGCGAGAAAACGCCAAACGCGCCTGTGTTTACAGGTCCCGGTGTGCTGCATCGGCAGAAGGTTATAATGTAACCAGTGCAATGTAACGCCCGGCGTGATCTTAAGTTTCAACTGTTAACCATCGCGGCTGACTTCCACTATGAAATCCTTATGAGAAAAAAAACGCTATCAAACCCGGGACCCCCCTCCAGTCCTCCACGTCTTAATCGCCAGGCTATTGAAATTACCTAATTATTTATTTTTATGTATCTAGTTATACACGCAATCCCCGACCGTTCTCCGAACCATCCATTTCTAAAGCCAGGGAAAAAAAACTGAAAAATAAATACATATATATATATATATATATATAAAAACACAACAAAACAGCGAGATGGAAAAGCCTAAACGATCGGAAATTCCCAGGTTTGGTTAAGTTTTTATATATCCATCCCCGGGCTCCGTTCTTGCTGCCGGCGGGTCACATAGCATTTCTCTCCGTTTTCGTGCGAGGTGAAAAAAAGCTCCGATGGGCGCTCTTAAAGAGACAGGGGTGACCGGGACCGGCTCCCCTCTTTCCCCGCATCCGAAAACCTGCCCCAGAGCCGACAAAACTGACGCACTTCCGCCGCCTCTGCCATTACCGAAGGAAGTTGGCTCGTTTCCTTACGTGGTTTGCAAATCGCGCCCAGAAAGTTACTTTCTACGGTGCGATTCGGTGGGCGGTCACCGGCTCCCGTGCCTCCCGCCGCGCTGGCCAGGCTGGGGGCTCCGGCCGCGCTCCGCCGCGGTACCCGGGCGCTGGGATTTAATGCGCAAATAGGCTGATTTCCACGAGGTATGTGCCGCGCACCTGTGCGCATGAGAGAACAACTCTCGCCGTTATTTATTGTAAAAATTGATCTGACAACTATTCCAAAATCTCATTTCTCGGAAAAAATTTCGTGATCAATTGAGTGGCAAGATGACTTTAGGGGTTGAAATTTATAATCGAGCTTCCCAAAGTCATGTAGAGATCTACGTCTACGCCAAAGAATTGCTTTTCACTATTTAGAGACGTTTAGACTTGAAGTACAGAAGGAATTGCTGTTCAAAATAAAACACTTGAAGGGACGTCTCTTCTAAAACGAAAAAAAAAGCTTCTGTTTTTTAGGAGTACTACAGTCCCTTATCAGCTGTTACAAGTTAATGTATACAATCACAGTTAAAGAGAAGAGATAAGCCTGTGTACCTATTACACAACTCTGCATAACCACCTGTGCTGATAGAGGAGGGTGTCTGCAATGCACCTTCGTTCAGCGGACGGCAAGCGGTGGAGGTGCTTCCCTGTGCTTTCAAATCTGCTCCATTCAAGGCTCTTGGTGAAGGCTGGGTGTTTAGGTTTCCGGAAATGGTCTCGTCTTCAGCAGGTGATTCAGGCTTAATTCGGACAAGAAACTGCCCACATAGGGGAAAGGTGTGAAGGGTATGAACTTGCTTTGAATAGAGGTGTCAGCTTGCTAGAGGATTTATAACTGAAATATATGTCAACAAAGCAGGAATAACAGTAGCAGACACTGGGCAGATGGTCTGGATTTCTGGTGTTACTGGAACACTCCACTGGATGCTGAAGCAGAGGTAATCCAATAATCCCAGTAACCCTACCCTCTCTGGCAGGCTGCTGCATTGCTGCATCAGTGCATGCGCCGTTCCCCTTCTGGGTATCTTGTCATTACACTGACATCCCACAAAACCTGTATCACAAAAATAAAAATATGAAAAAAAATACTCTACATCTATATAAAGAAATAATGAAATCGCCAGCTATATTTATTAGAATTATAATCATAGAATTATTTTTATGTGGTTTTTTTTTTATTGAATATTATTAATTATGATCGCCTCTGTTATTATCATAGCGAGCATACTGTGAAGTATTAGCTCTTGACACTGTCACCCTTTTCTCTGTGTGAACCCATTACCTCTTTGTAAATAAACCACATCTATAATGTTTTTTTCCCTATTTTGTTTGGAGCTGCATCTGACAGAGCAGTCAGGTCACTAAACAATTAAAACTAAGGTGAATATGAGCAGCTGCTCTTTGGCTACTGCGTAACAGATGATAAATACTAGATATGTGGACAGATACATGCAGTCAAGGTCTCTGCTTCACATCACTTATGATGCTTACAATAAAAGATCAATTCAACATGACCTACATGTATTTATTTATCCTGCGGCCAAACAGTTTAAGCTGCTTGCTCAAACATCTTAAATGGAACATCTTTTAATATATGGAGACAATACTCCCTGACTATGTGCCTCAGAAGTGTTGAATGGGCTGATTATCCTGTTTGACGTTTCCTGGTATGGTGGGTCTGACATTTTAATGATGATGAGTTTGTGTGAGGCAGACCTACATAGCTCCTGACACAGGGATATCCTGAGCCTGTCCCCGTGCCCCCCCCCCGATCTTGCGTTCCACGCACCTTCCCGGGTGGCTCACTTCAGAGGAACCGCTGTCAGAACCGGCCTGGAGGCCAGAGGGCCAGTCTACACCACTGTCCTTCTTAACTCTGGGCACATGCTTGGGATATCTTTAAACATGGAATAATTCAGGCTGAGGACTCGAGAAGGAGCAGAAACGACATGGCAGTAATTCATGCACTCCGCATCAGCTGCTCACAGTCCCTTTCAAACCAAACAATCACTTTGAAGTGGGGGCCATAAGACCCAGGTGCGGGAGGGCTCGGTGTCTTAAGCTCTGCTCCCTTCCAGCTTCCATAACATTATGCTGCTTTAGACACATAAACTAAAGTTCCCCTGTTTGTGCTCCAGAAACAGCACAGGCTGCTGGGAGGACGGCTAAGGGTCCTTAGGCAGGCCAGACAGGAAGTCCAGCGCCGGGGAGCAGGCCATCCAAAGGGGTGTTGCCAAAGAAAGTGCTGTCTGTCATGGTGAATATCCACAGGCGGGGGAGACTTAACATCCTGATACTAATTTACCCTTCGCAAATAACCCTTACATCCTATTTCCTGTGTTTATAAGACAAGGTTAGGTCCTCTTTCTGAGTGCCAACCCAACCAGCTGACACCAGATTTGCCCTCTCAACATGGCTGCAGGCTGTGGCTTTTATGACAGGCAGCCTTTATGACGCTGAATGGGCGATGCGTCCAAAACAGTAGGAATACCATATTCTCTGCAGTTATTTTTTATCCCCTTTCTCATACAAGAAACAAAAAACTGTTAAATCAAATAAACACATAGCCAACGTCAAACTGCCCCCGGGCTAACAAAACCCTGCAATATACATCACGGTATAAAATATTCAAGGCCGACGTGTGAAGAATGTAGTGCCCCCAGAAATGGGCGCCTTTTAGAAGGTGCTGTGAAGGTTTTTATTTCCCCATCTTGCACTCATATTGGGGGTGCATTGCGGCTGATCTCCGCCAAACCGTTTGTGGGAAATGAAAACACAGACCTCCGGCTGCCATCCATGAAGACGTTCTCGCGTCTAACGTTGCGGCGATAATTCCCCAGCTGCCGCTTCTTGTGCGATGCTGAAAATGTGCTCCAGATTACAGCAGCAGAGCTGGAATTTACAAGATAAGCTGGGCGTTGCGAGACGCAGCGAATCGGCGGCAGATCGTGCCGTCCGGCGTGACATTACTCTCAATAAGCCGCGCGCGGTTGCTGCCGGCTGTGATATTGTCATTCAAATTAGGCTTGTTATTCGGCAGTTTGTCTTCACGCATTTGTCGCCGATGCCACTCATTTGTCAGTTATTTTACGAAGACGTCGTAAATCTCAGAGCCCTTGGTCGACTGCTTATACCTGTGAAAAGGCGCTCGTTTGGGCCTGGAGCCCTCTGTCTGAAAAGAAAGAGGGTGGGGCTTTTATTTGATGCCAATTCAGGTTTTATGACAGAAGAGACTCATGTAGGAATTAATTATGTGCCCCACGATGTTGCTGAAATATGGTAGCGAGGGAGACGGATCATGATGTCATTGACATCCAGTAGTATCTTGCATTTTGGAAGATCTTTAAAGAAATCGGTGCTTGCCTTTTATTTTCTATATTATTTTTGTGATATTGAGATGCTTTGGGGTGCTGCCTCGATGTGCCGTGAAAGCTGTGGCTGGACCACGACACTTTTAGGAAGCTCGGTAATGGATTTTATCGACCCCGGGCCGCTCGGCCCGCACGGCCCGCGACGCTGCCCAAGCAGCACTCTCCTTCTCCTTTCCAAATCTTATCAGGAGGCATTATGTCAGCGCCGCTTTTCATAAGAAACATCCCAGGATCGATGGGTCCTCACCGCGCTGTATGGATCTGCTCTGGGGGAGGGGTTAATCCAAGGATCTAATTTGTGCTGCTGGTTGAGCCCGTTAGACGCGGCGGTTCCCTGAGATTGCTATTGAGCAGCGATGCAGAATTTTCCTGTTTTCCAAGTTTTCCTGCATGTCTCTCAGTAATATATCACCTCAGAGGGACCACAGCTGGCAGAACATCCCAGAAGATATTTAGCTGCTGTTCAGTGGGTGGTACTGTGGCATCACACCTCCAGGGTTATGGGTACGAGTGGCACTGCCCGCTGTTTTTGCATGGTTTCCTTCCTGCAGTCTCAAAGCACATGGTTGATTGTTGTCTTATCATTGCCCATAGTGTGTGGGTGAATGAGTGGGTGAGTGAGTGATTGTGTGAGTGAGTAAATGAGTGAGTGAATGTGTGAGTGAGCGAGTAAGTGAGTGAATGTGTGAGTGAGCGAGTAAGTGAGTGAATGTGTGAGTGAGTGAATGCGTGAGTGAATGTGTGACTGAGCGAGTAAGTAAGTGAATGTGTGAGTGAGCGAGTAAGTGAGTGAATGTGTGAGTGAGTGAGTGACTGAATATATGAGAGAATGTGTGAGTGAGCGAGTGAATGCGTGCCTGAGTGAGTGAGTGAATGAGTGAGTGAATGAGTGAGTGAATAAATGAGTAAGTCAGTGAAGAAGTGAGTCAATGTGTGAGTACGTGAGTGACTGAATATATGAGAGAATGTGTGAGTGAGCGAGTGAATGCGTGCCTGAGTGAGTGAGTGAATGAGTGAGTGAATGAGTGTTCGCAGTGATGGACTGGCATCCCATTCAGGGTGTCCTTTGCCTCCTCTGATAGGCTCCAGGCACCCTGTTACCCGGTGCAAGATAAGCGTAAATGAGCAGCTCTTCCATCGCCAGTCTCCTGGCTGGGCTACACTCCTCCTGTCGCTCTCCTTAAAATCACCAGCCGTCTCTGCCCTGGAAGCTCTGGCATCTTAATCCTGAAAATAAGTGACTTTTTTCCCCAGTCAAACATTAATTAGCAAATTTCTCAAAAGGGGGGAAGGGGGAGTGATTCCTAAACACGCTGTTTTATATCAAAGGGGTGCTAGCTGTGAGCCTGTCTACTTCCCAGCCCCTGGCCCCCGACCCCCGGCCCCCGCTTCATGGCCGGAGCATCCTGCTGCGGGTGACGTGCCAGCGTGTGCCAAGCCCACTGGCGGGTGGTAGGTGCCACCAACCCACAGACGGCATCAGGCAGCTGTGCTTCAGTGGGGACGCTAATTACGCAACGGCGCCCCCTGGACCGCCACATAATGA